GCCGAGCAGGGAGCCCGATGCGGGACTCGATCCAGGGACTCCAGGATCATGACCTGAGCCGAAGGCAGTCGCTCAACCAACTGAGCCACCCAGGCACCCAAATCCTTCTATTCTTAATGGCCTTGAGATTCCACAAAGTGCTTTAGAGAGCTTCCAGGACCTAATGCAAACTACAGAGCTGAGACTATTAACCAAGGCGTATCAGGATCTCACGGTCACTCTGGCAGAAACGGACAAGGTAGAAGCGTCATCAGCCAGCGGCATTTAGAAGCAAAGTCAGGCTCGGAGTCCAAGCCTCGGTCGCTGCCCAACTTGGTGACTGAGCAAATCATTTAATGTCTCTAAGGCCCTGATATGAAATGAGAAAGTGTTGACCTTGCTGAGGGGAAGGAATGGGGTCATGAATACAAAGGATCTGTATTCCCGAGGACTAAGTGATCACAGACGGCAGCACCGTTCTTACAGAAACTTGGACAGGCAAGCACAGAGACCCGTGCCGGAAAGCTGGAGTGAGCAGACTTTTCTCAGATCTTGTTTGGTTGGCTGGGCCAAGGGGAGAGGCAACCAGAGGGAGGCTACTGTAGGTGTTTTTTTAGTGAGAAAGCATCAAAGCAAAACTAGGCAACTGAAAAGCCGGTACTGGTGTCTGGCGGGGAGGAACAAGCCAGAACAAATGAGATCGTCAAGAGCAAGGCCAGAGAGTGGGGATTATCGAGAAGAGCAGAGCAGCAAAGGAACAAGATGTAGCAGCCACGCCAGGAAGAGAGCGAGGACCCTTTGCTGTCATGGAAGCTGGAGGGAAGGCCAAAGTCACTCTGTCCTACGTGGAGAGAACTTTAAAAAGACCACATCCTTTTAACCCAGAAAGTCTGCCCATTGGACTCTCTCTTTCTTTTGTGGGGGGGAGGGGTAGTGGGAGAGAAAGAATCTTAAGCAGGCTCCTTGCCCAGTATGGAGCCCGACATGGAGCTTGATCTCACGACCGAGATCGTGACTTGAGCCGAAATCAGAGTCAGATGTTTAACCAACTGAGCCGAGGCACCCACTCACTGGAATCTCTTAAGTGAATAAGGATGCAGAAAAAAGAGATTTTTATGTAAGAATTATCTATATTCCAAATGTTATTATATTACTGCAATCTAATTAGGAACAATATAAACGTCCCCAAAGGGCAACGGTCAAGTAAACCACGACTGAACACTGTACGGCCATTAGAAGTGTTTTTGAACTTCGAGAAATCTAATATCATGCAGAGTGAAAGGGAATGGTAAATTACACGTATGGGATGATCACAATTTTGTTAAGTAACAGAAAAAGAAGGAAGGGAAACACACGGAAATGTGTTCACACCTGCCCTGGCCGGAAGTACGTCCGCGGCACGGCACCCACTAGTGCGTCCCCGAGAAGCACACCGGCCGGGGCTGCTGCTCACACACGCACACCTCCTCTGCACGACCCCGCGCGCCTGCCCCGAACACGGGCGCTCCGGCGGCAGAGCGCGCTCCAGGCGGGGAGCTACGTGCGCTTCTCTGGGGGCCGGTCGGCACAAACCCGTTCGGTGCCTTGGCTGTGTGAGCGGAAGCGCGCCGAAGCCCCGAGCCAGTTTCCTACCGGGCCACAGCAGACGCACCTTCTCCGAGGCAGTGGCGAGCTTGGTTCCGCTGGAGTCAAACGCCAGCGCTGCCAAAGGACTGTCGTGAGCCGGGATCATGTTCGCAGCTCTCTGGAAGGCAAAACCAATGTGACGCGGCCGCCACGCGGCGAGACCGCACCCCACGCCGCCCCTGGTCATCAGGCTGAAGTGCCAAGTGGCTGTGACTAAAACCCCAACCCGGTCAATACGAGAACCACATGCGCCGGAATTACTGGGGGAGGGGCCCGAGGAAATGCTGCTCGGAACCTTCCAGAAAGCCAAGCCCTGGATCCATGAAGTCTTTAGAGCTCTCTCCATTCCTCCAAGCAGCCACACTGCCGGGAGGTCCGCGCCGTGGCAGCACGGGCAGAAATCTGCAGGCAGGGGTCGCCCAGGCCTGCTCTGCCATTAAGAAGGTGGCAGTGAAACCTGCCTTGCCGAGCCAAGGAAAGGCGGACGCCAACGGCGCCACGTGCTTGTTGCAGAGAGCGGGGACGCTGGCGAGAGGGACCCCGGTACAGAAGGAGCCTCGGAGCCTCACCAAGTTCATGGTGTCGAAGACCTGCACCTCTCCGATGGTGGCACTGCCTGGGTACGCCAAGTAACCATTGTCGTTGTGTATGGACAGTGCGCACAGGCCTGTGGTAACACAAGGAGGCAAACACGGAGAGTTGGGTCCAGAGGGGTTCCCGTTTAGTTGCTACACGCAAGTGAGCATCTGCCCAACAGAGACTGGAGTAAGTAAAGGGGCTCAGACACGGCCTTGGGAGCTGCTGTGCTGGTCTGTTTCAAGTGCCACACCCCCAAACCACCTCCTCAGGGAACAGGAGGGTTATAAAAACAGGCTGAAGGCCATGGTGGGAACTGATCAGCAGCCTCAGAATTGGAAGCTGACGAAACCAATGATTATGTGATCACTAGACCAGCAGCAGAAGGAAGGTAGCTTGCTTGGTTTAAGATCAATACTTTCAAAAGCTATCCCGGTGGAACCCAGAAGGAGAAAATAGCTAATCTTTAAAAGGTAGAATCAGAAAAATGGATGTTTTTCCCACAGTGAGCTTACCTGCAGGGTTGGGAGGGGTCTCCCTGATCGTGTGCAGGACTTTCATGTCCCGAATGTTGTGTATATAGAGAGACTCCTCCAGGCATACTATTAGCCTCTAGGGAAGAGAGAAGAAACAGAAAACCAAACATCAAGAGCCAATACGATCCTTGCTCCCATCTTTACTTGATCGACTCCTGGCCGAAGACGCCCCCGGTTCCTTCCAGCACACCAGGCAGACTGGACACACGCGGCCCAGCGGACACTGGCCATGACCAGGCCGCTTTCCTGCAGCGCCATGTGCCTCATCTACCCACCCAGTAGTGTCCACACCAGCTGTGTCTGCTCCCACAACCACTTCTGCCAACTGTACCAGGCCCTCCAACCACGCGATTGAGTGCACGACTGCGGAAACTGGTAAACTATAGCTAAGAAAGGTACGGTTTGTGTTTTCAGTTTGTCTGTGTTCACCCTCCCCTCATGAAAATCAGAGCAAGTGCCTTGGACGCGTCTGGTAAAGGTCAGTTGCTTTCAAAAACCCATGCTGAACGAAGCATCGCAAGATAAAAATAAAAGCCTAGGGGTTTCTAAAGTCTCAAAACTCATGCTATGCTCGCATTATTTGCAGGTGTCTAAGTTCACACTCCACTTTAAAGAGGAATGTGCTTGTAGCTGATGCACCAAGGGGATGGTTCATGCAGGAAAGACAACTTGGCATGCATGTAGCAGCACGTTAGTTGGTGCGTGAATGTACACGTGCATGTTTTACGTTTGAAGAACGTTCGACACGTTATGCCTTATAACTTCCCATTGTAACCATGTCCTTCAGTTCACAGAGCAATCCCAGCAGGCCTCCACCACAACCATCTACCCAGCCAGCACACCGCGGACCACCGCCCACCCCACCCCGCCCCACCGTGGTGACGTGCGTCTCACATCCACCAACTTCATTAGCTTTCCCCGTATGGAACATGCGCTTGCCACAGAAAAGCTGAAGGATCTTCGGGGCGCTGTTACATTTTGTGGGGAAGCGAAAGCCATGAGGTGCTCTCGTGAAATAAACTCAAGTGCTAGCCACCAAGTCCATACTCTGCGCCAGACATTCTTGTGAGTTTGGGGAACATAAAAAAGAAGGAGTAAGTCTTTCATCTTAAAAGTAAAGTTTAGGGGCGCCTGGGTGGCTCAGTCGTTAGGCGTCTGCCTTCGACTCAGGTCATGATCCCAGGGTCCTGGGATCGAGCCTCACATCGGGCTCCCTGCTCCGCGGGAAGCCTGCTTCTCCCTCTCCCGCTCCCCCTGCTTGTGTTCCCTCTCTCGCTGTGTCTCTC